TGACGAACTCATATTTTTCAGAGGGATTGAAACCACCAACCAGATAGTCGTATCATATCATATCTATTAGTATCAATAATATTCTAAACCAAAATGGGTATGGGTCAAAGCCCTGGTGCCCTAGGTACCCTAAAATAGCTGGTGAATTTGGATGGTTATTCCCAAATATGGTAATAATAGGTTTTAACCCATTTTTAACCAATCAATCTCCAAATCTTATCAATACTTGCATCAAGTATTACATCATTTTTCCAACATCCTTCCACCTGGGCATCCATGGCTGCGCAACCTAAACGTCGACAGGACTACGAGCTGGCCCTGAACTGGTTCTGGCGAAGAAGGCTCACGGACGAGAAGCTGAAGGACGAAGACGTGAAGGCGGAAGAGTTAGAGATGGTTAGGTCATCTTAGGTCTAGGAATTCCCTCAAAAAGAAAACATTATATAGAACGTAAATGAACATAGTAACATCTATGCTACTAAAATGGCCTCTGGCAGTCTCACTCAATGGCATTATTTCATATTATTTCAGGTTGGTGATCTGTCTTACATTTATCCAACGGCTGTGTTTGAAGATCGTGTGATTCAAGAATTGATGGTAACTAGCATGTTTTCTGCTAAATTGGTGGCATAACTATCAAGTATACGCAATTTTCAGACACAGGACGTGAACCTTCCGAAACCGTTTCTTGTCACTGGAGAACTCATTTGTTTCTTGAGGAAGGGGACCAGACAGTAGAAGTGTCATGTCATTTCGGGAACTTGCATTTCGGGACAATGAATGGAGATTCAACCCGCCCCACCCCCAAAAAAACAGTTACCACCCAACAATCGATGGTCAAGATTAGCATAGATTAGCCTTTCTAAACGTAGTTATTGACATTGAATGTTACTGATGGTAAATCAGCCCTTAAGAAGCCCTTGTCATTTGGGGGGTCAGCTCTTCCCTAGGAGCTGAATGTTGAGCTGGATAAATACCGGGACAAGGAGGCGAGATCGTGGCGAGTTCGTTCTTCGAATGGAGACTGCACCATTTTGGTACCCAAAAGTGCTGTACCACAATTTTGGGGTCATGCTTTACTCATGATCTCATGATTATGTAGTTTCAGAACTTTGGGTCTAAAAAAAGTATGTAGATTTTCGTGGACCATGATCCACGAAGTGGCTGGCCCCCATGGTTAAACGAATGTATACTGTATATATATATATGTTATTATATTATATATAACTTAAATTGTTGTACATTGCCCGGATTTATATACATATATTTATACACTATACATGTAATTATAAATCATAAAAAATCATATAAACATAGGTGACATATATGATAATTGATAATATACAATATATTCGATAATATATGACAATATATGTATATATATATATAATAATATATATGAATATATATGGCAATGTATGGTAATATGCATCATATTCATTTGTGTTTCCATATTTTCTCAGAGACCTGAGGTGGTTTGTCAGATCTCTTACGGAAGCGCCAGGAAGCTGCCGACCGGGACATGTTCCGCTACGTGGAAGAAAAGGCGGGTGAAGGGTCTGGCCTGGTTGTTTGGTTAGAGGTAAAAACCATGAATCATAGGAAAACCACAGGAAAACCATAGGAAAATACCATGAAATGGTGGTTTAGTGGTAATTTAATGATGATTTAATGGTAATTTCAGGTGATTTACCCTCTGGTTATTTAACGTAGCTATGGAGAATCATTATTTTTAATAGGTAAATCATCAAAACACATATAATTTTGCCATTTTTCATGGCTATGACAAATAACCAGAGTGTATATGGTAAGAGAAAAACTGGTAAAACCAGGGAAAATGATATAGTCTATAGTGAAACGCATTAAAATATACTGAAATCCTGTGCATTCATTGATGGTTTTTCAGCATGGGTTGTAAAAACTGATGGGGTTCAACGGAAAGATCTCCCTGACCAATCCACTGAGACGTGGAGATTTGATCAATAGCAGGATCCGATTCATTGGAGGTACCGATTCCATATATTTTTGGCCTAAATTTCAGGGAATATCCCCACAAAATATGGCCCAACATATGGTACGTTTACGTACCTCCAATGAATCGGATCCTGGAATTCCCATTGATTTGAGACGTGTAGTCAGTGTAGTCTGCCCATTTCTTGTGGATGATTTCGTGTCGAAATTGAATCGGTTTTTGTTTCTATACCGTTCCATTTCCCTGTTCAAGAGGACATTTCCAAGAAACACTTTAATTGAAGGTTAACACATGTTGAAACATGTTAAAGGATCTCAACACAACATGATCAACATGTGTTCCTGTTTATGTTCACTCAAACCAACCCATCGTGAATGTTCCATTTGATGTGTTCGCGAAGTTTCTGGCACAGGTCCGATCATGGGAAGTGGCTGGCCCCAGGGGCACAAGGATGTTTTGAATTTGGGATGGGGAAATCGCAACTGGAAGTTGCGGTGGTGCATTGTATTTTTGATGTATATGGTTGGATAGATGGCTCATTCATAGTATACATATTCTTGATTGAGTACTATTTAGTTAGTAGCTAGTGAATTGTTATCACTAAAAGTTTGGTGATATTGATTCGTGTTTTGGTATGGTCTGTGTCATCCCTTAGCAGGAACCTGGATAGTTTGGGTGCTTCTTGTGGGACCTGGACTGGCATTTGACAAATGATCGCTTCGATGATTTCCCATGTCCCAGAAATTCCCATTTTGTATCCCTCAACTCTCCTCTCATATGGGGGTTTCCTAAAATAGGGGTACCCCAAATCATCCATTGATGGTTTTTCATTATAAACCAACCAGTTGAGGGTACCCCCCTTTTAGCTATGGAAACCTCCAATAGCCCATCATATCCCGTGGTATCTCCATTTTTCCCATGTTCAAAGCCCTTCATGTCCGGTCCGTTAAACGGTTGAGAGTTTCTCTCAGGTTTGCTTCGAGCCCACCATCATGGACCTTCCACGTCACTACGCCAACGCGGAGAAGACGTGCGAAGATGATGGGAATTCGAGGGGGAAGCTGGGGAAAAAGCTACGGAAAATATGGTTTATTTATGATTGTTTCATATGGGATAATTAATGATAATTACTGTATTCATGTTTTTTTCCGGAAAAAATTGAACCAACACGCACAATTACCGGGCGAATATCTATCCTGTGATGATCCACAACCGTGTCATTTGTATAGCTTTATCTGCCCGAATGGAGGTTTCCTAAGTCATGGGAGTACCCAAATCATCCAGTCGTCATGGATGACCATTTTAGTATAGAACATATAGAACCGATGATGACTTAAAATGGATCCCCCATTTTACGAAACCCTCATTGGAAATCGGGGATTTCTCCATCTCCACAACACCGCGTTTCTACATGGAGGTACTACTGCTGCGTCTGGGCCCTCAGATCTACAGCTGGTGGTGCCCCATACAACAAAGCTTAACGCTTAACGAATGGGTGTTGATTACATTGTTACCATCTGATTAGACTAACATAGCCATGGTATAGATGGCCCTAATCGAAATAGATGATTTTCCCAGCGAACGAAACCTCCATTTATGGTTGGGATTTTCCATGGCGAACTGTTAGTCATAACCAGATGGTAAGTCAACTTAACTCCAGTTAGTTGGTCTTGAAGAATCCTTAAAAAAAAACATACATCTGGGTAAATTTCATCACGACCGAGCCCTATAATCATAGTAGGGGAAATGATCCCCAAATGGCCGCACTATTCAGGTTAGTGAAATATTATAATTTACCCAGATACATATATATATATATATATACTGCTATATATATATTATATGCATGGATTTGAGTGAAAAGCTGCTGCTCAAAACTGTCATTGCCTGCGTTTCCTTCATATTCCCGCGAAACGCCCACCCAGCACAGCGTAGCCATCGCCATCGCTGTTTGCTCTCAGTTGATCTACATGGCTTTGATGCCTCTGGCGCCATTGGTGGGTTTCCTGAGCCTCCTTTTTCAGCCAGGGCCTGGAGCCGGGACAGGGCTTGGACTGTGGATATTTTTGGTGCCCCTATTTTCGCAAACGCCCGGTTAGTTATATACTGTATATATTGTATGTATATATAATTATATATATATAAATATTATATACCCTCAACCCGTGAGGGAGCGCTTTTGACCATAAGATGCTGTTTCGATCATTGCCCAGCAAGCGATGTTCAAAATACGGGTTTTTATTCAAAACGCAATCTTTTGATTTTCACCAAAAAAATGAACATACATAATGCCCATGTGCGCACACCCCAACTCTCACAACCCTTCCACTTTTCCCTCGCACCTGAGCTGTAAGATGATCTAAGCCGGTTCTGCATGGATCCAGCCAAAGCATTTTCTCAATCTTTTGGGGTCTGAGATCCTGAAATCAAATTGAATCAAAATGGAGGTCAGAACAATAGAACTTTTAGGATTGACATAAGGTTTTTCACATCAAACTTGAACCCTTTTCATCCCATGTATGCATCCATGCCACGCTGGTCTTTGCCAGAGTCTAGCAAACAAAATCTTATTTTGATCATGCTCCGCCAAATTACAGATCTGTGTGCCTGTCGGATATTTGTAGACCTGGATAACTTGGATGGTTTTCCAATGAAGTCCTCTTGCTGCTGGCAAGATGTAGCCAAAGGAGACAATTGCCATTCACAGGTTTCAGCCTTTTTTCGTATCTCTAGGGCATCATGGCACACCATGTGATTTTTCGGGTACATAGGGAACCGCGATTTACCCCTCCTGACCGATAGATCAGCCAGCACTGAATAGTGTCCCAAAAAGCTAAAGATCCAATCCGATAACTTTCGGGCATCAGTGTCTCGAATCCAAAGTCCGTTCCGATAGAGGAAGGTCAGCGTAATGTTGATCGCCTTCGTTGCAGCAACCTGGGCTGTTTGGAAGGGTCATCTTATGAAAACCAAAAACCTTTCTTTTTGGGGAGCACCAAACACAATAAAATGCAATGTGTGCCAAACATGAAAATGATTAAACAAAACTAATGTAATCTAGGGGCAATCGACTTCATCATAGGGTCCAAAGACTGTAAGAGAAAGTTTTCAGCAAACCATCCAATGAACAACATGATTTCAGTTGATGCCATTCCTTTGTTCCACTTGGCAGCCGGGCACACCGATGCCATTGGCCAGCAAACCAAGTCTCGAGACAACTCCGAAATCCATGGTTTTCTATTCTTTTGGGCAAAAAAATGTTTGTACATGTCAGACAACCGTTCAAATTTTTTCTCAACCGATCCAAGTCCTTCAAGGCAAGGTAATGGTGGGTCCGCTTCAATCAAACTGACAATCGCTGAAGATGAAAAGCTCTTCATAATGCCAAGGTGAACATTGTGGAAAAAATCTGATTTGAAGAAATCAATCGCCCTGGCGTCATCCAGCCCCAAACCTTCTAGGATTGATGGTTTTTCCTCCCATGGCAGCTCCAGGAAGATTGTTGGTGCCCACACAGGCGTTTGGGAAACATCCTCAAAAGGTAAGGCAGCCCGATGGTTCTTATCATCTCGTTCTTGTCCTGCTAAACATTTGTAGCAGACTCCCCTTCCAGGTTTCTTTGCCCTGGCTGCTCTCGGAGCATGCCCAAATGTACGTGTAAATTTCCCCAGTTTAGCCAATGCAGGTAGGTCTCCTTTGGAAGATAGGTGTACAAACCAAAATCGTTGAGCACCATGTGTGATCCCATCATGTAAGAGCGACTGTGCATCAGCTGCAAACTCAGAGAGCAACTTGGATAATGCATCCGGTGTTGCAACACATTTCTGCATAGTAGCTATCAACAGGTGAGTCGACCACGTGTTTCCAATGAAATTTAGGCCTTGAGCATTTTCATGAACTGGTAGCCGATGTTTGTTTGATCGAAGATACTCAGCAGTACCCCGACCAATCACCCCGTGCACGTTTAAGACCCAAAGTGGAGCATCCCTGAATGTCCTTCCCTCGTCACTATGGGAAAAGTAGGGGATCAGGCTGTCCAGAACAACTCTACCTTCCTGTTCCAATTGGAAGACTGCATGTTGACTATCCATCACACGATATCTGTTCCAAAATTCTTGAAGTACCATCCGCATAGTTGAAACTGATGGCACGCCAACCAGCTGCCGCCACAAGAGGCCAACACTCAGTAAGTACTGCAACCAACTGGATAGCTTCACCCATGGGAATCTTTTCAATTCCTTGGAATCCCCCAAATCAACGTATGATAGAGGAACTGGAGTTGTCAAACCATATTTGCACAAGACCCTCCGAGCACCCACTTCAGCATCAGATTCTCGTATGTTGGAAAACTCCCTCATAGCATCAGTAGCCCTTGGATTCGCTTCCACCTCATCCCTTGCAATCTGAACGATGTGCTTGCAAGAGGCCTCAGCGGATGCAGTGCGGGCACATGGTAAACCCAAAAGGGGTCAAAAATTGGGCAGAAAGGAAATCCCAACTCAGGGCATGTTTTGGACTGATCTTCTCAAGATTTTTCAGATCGCATTTGTTTCCTAAGCGTTCCAAACTTGTAAGAAAAACTAGCATGCAATGTCTCAAACAAAAAGCTCAAAAACATTGTGCGCACGTGTTTTCACCCAACCCTCCTGTTCTGATCTGCGCGTCCCCCAGTGACATACATAAAATAGGGTGGGGGTGCTTTGTCCTTTTTGTTCAAGGCACCCTCACCACCTGACCCCTCTTTGTTCCGGCACCCCACATGCTTGCAATATTCGCTGACAAGCGCAGCTTCAAGCATGTGAATTAGATCTATGCTGTGTGAAACTGCGATGATCCACATGCAAGTGAATCCTAGTTTTTGGTAGTCGATGTACCGTTGGATCGGATTTGATGTCACTCCAAGTTTAAACACGCAAAGTCTAATGCCGATATCTTCACGGAAACTGGTGACCCGATCCTTGCAGCGAGATAAGATTCGCCCGCATGTTTGCTGGCATGAACCTGGCTCCTTAGGACAACGATTGAATAGGCCATGTGACCGGGTGAGACTCCAGTCAAAGGTTTCAGCATCAAAGCTGTCAGCAAGTTTCTTCAGTGTGCAGGTGGTCTCCTTAGAAGGCCAAAGGTTTCCAGATGTTTCCAGTGCATGTTGAAAACAACAAACCACAAGATCTCTTGGTTCAATTATCTCATCAAACATAACATGATTTACATGTCACTGAATCGAACATCATGAAGCGTTGCTGAGTGGCAGCTGTGATGGCCGGGGATGGTGGCTGCTGGGAAGGACCGAGTCTATCAAAATAGTCTTGGTAAATCAGAACTTCTTCTTGATCTGCAGGTTCAATTTTCAGCTTCCTAAGTTTATCAAATAAGATTGTCAAATACGATGAGTGCTGACTAAAGGCACATAGAAATAGAATCTAAACATGTAGCATCGAGAAATATAGGTTTTGTTTGCTGCCAAGGCACTTCATGGACAGCTCCCCATTATCCAAGCCAGCCACCCGCTTCTTCCCACTGAAGGGACATACATAGGTCAGGAGATCAATGAGATCATCGGCACTTTCATCCATGGCTCACTCCGATCCATGGAACATGTTTGAATTGTCTTTAATGCCATGAGTTATCATGATATGTTATGAAGATTCAGATATGCTCCCATGAAAATTATCATGATTTCTTCCATTAACATGATCACATGTTTAACTTGATGTTTTGTCATATGATATGATACCATCATAAAGGCATAAAACAACATAAATACTTATATATGGTAGCAGGGCATGTTTTGGAGTGATCTTTAAACAACGAGCCATTACTTTATAATAATGGCACTGTTATCGAAGAACTATCATATGATTCCGCTGTCTTATCATCATATCTTATATTGGAATATTCTTCATGACAAAGTACCAGTACCATGTGTCACCATAATCTTCCATTATATGAGGGATGATGCTAACACATGGAAAATAAGATCGAAGAAAATGAATCCATTCCGATTGGTTACTAGCTTCTCATTGAAACTGAAATCCAAGTGGGTTGTACAATTCCCCGGCTACCATTGGATGTGGATATGCAACTCATTCAGAAACATCCCGGGCCAAAACTGTTGCGGTTGAAACATGGGTCCAAGAGCCACACCCACCAGTCCACCCAGCTTGCAGGAGGATCCCAGAGACAAGGCCCTGGCTCCATCAGCTATGAGCTTTGCGTATCCAGCCAGCACTTTGTCCACGTCGTTGGGACCTGGCATGCAGGGCAATAGCAGAAAGCAATGATGTCGGGGTGATAGTGGGTGTAGTGGTGGATCATGATGGACCATCAAGGGGGATGATGGGTGAGGCATGCAACCATCCCCAAAAAGTATGCAAGGGTTCGGCATTTTTTTTCTTACACTTCTGCTTCATGTCGTTTGTTTGCTTTCCCGGGATTTTCACATGCAGGTCCTTTCAGGCATGTGTTCCAAAAGTGGCTGGCCATGCCATCTATGCAGTTTGCCATCTAGCTAGGGTATGATATGTCATATGTGGATATGACAACTGACTATCTTGAAAAATCTAAAATCCTGAAAAGTACATCAGGGTCTAAAGTTTTCACCTCAACTAGCCAGCAACTGCAGGCCATCCCATTCTAAATCACTAAGCCACGTGTTCTGCACATGGCAACCCTTGGTCCCAAAAAGTAGCACTGTCGATTGTTGACTATGCTCATTTGGTTGATGCCTTTGCCAAGACTCAACCGATATCAGCCCTCAGACTTGTTCTTGAGCATCTTCAAGACATTCCTTGGCGACGCAATGCGGTGCCAAGGAATAGTGATACTCAATGGGGTTCCCAAAACAACGCTTGAAACATTGCAACTTTCAATGGGATGATGCATGTCAACCTATGATATTGAGATGAATGTCATGGACCTTTTTTAATATTGTCCCATGAATCTGAATCAGTAACTGCGATGCCCAAATCGAACTAATTCATCCAAAAGTCTTCGCTCCAACTTCGGAAGTGACCACCTTTGAGCACCTGAAGCGGTGTGCCAACATGTTGGCCCTTAGGCATCGGGCATCGGCTGCAAAAGTTGAGCCAAGGCACGCTTTGGTGGTGTCGCGGATCTGATCTGTCATCTTCTTCTGCAGCCTCAAAGGGGAATGGATGGTTTGGTTCATGGTGGTAGGTATTTTCAGAGAATGAAATCCATTACTTTGAATACTGAGAAAACATCAAGGAATTACATCAAAATGAATGGTGATCTGGTAGGTGAGTGGTCCTTTCTTTCTGAACTAGATTAAGACTAAGAATCAGAGGCAAGTAACAACTTCCTCTCAGAATCAGGAATCCTCTCGAAGCACAGCTGCATCCAACTTGATGAGCTCACAGGTGGAGAACTGCGTGTTCAGAATTTCGATGCTGTCCTCCAAAGCTTGCACCGACCTGAGCAAGCAGGGGGTGGGTGAAGTGGTTTTGGGCGATCATTGCACATCAAACCAAATGTTGAAATGTTTTTTTTGGCATATATATAATATTAGCTTGTGAATGTCTGGGTATGGGGCTTGCCAACACGCTTAGCTTCAACAGTCTCCTTGTCCTTGTCACCAAGTTCCGATTCCAGTTGGCTAACCAAATCTGAAAGCTTAGACGACCGGGTAAGCAGGGATGATGTGAAGCTCGCAAACTTCAGGTAGTCCTGGAGCAGGGGAGCTATTGTTTGGACCATATCAAATGAAAGGGTGTCCTTTATTATTATCAATCCATTCCAAAACCAAGTGAAGTGCTCGGACACCAGAGGGCATGGTACTTAGTGATATGGCATGATGATGTACATCTGGTTGACATACGTATGTTTTGAAATATCATACAAGGATGGTTTGTCATATGATGGGCTGATTTGATGTTGCAGTCAATTGATGAAGTATGGTCATGAAAGGATCTTGTCATTTTACACTTGCTTAGTCTGATATCATTGTCGGTTTGTATGGCAGTTACTGGTGTTTCCCTGAATGGTATAATATGCAACGGTTCGATATGATATGGATTGGAATGGCATGTTGAGATGTTATATATGCAAACCAGACCCTGCACTATCCCCCAATCCTTCTCTGCAACATTGATCTGTTCAGCTTCTTTCTCCTTTTCATCATCTTCTTCGGACTCACTGTCCCCACATTCCTGACCCAGGACCTTGAAGGTGACCTCTTCAGTCGCCTCAGGTGGAGATGCTGAGAACCAACAAGACTTTGGACATTGGGATGGAGACCAGCGATGCATCAGGCCAGGAAACCTCCCCAGACTCTTGATGTTGGTGCTGTTCCTCATTTTCAGAAATATCATCGTCCTCCTCACCATAGACAACATAGTATTTGCGGAGTTTGCGGTTGTAGCGATCCTTCCTAGGATGTTCTAGAAGAATGGACTGAAACAATGCTTGAACAGTTTTGAAACCAATCAATAAGATATGTGCATGCAACATGCCAAACTTCATAGGAACATCAGGTATGAAGGTATGATGAGATTGGAATGGGATGCAGTCTAAAACCACTGGAAACTGTCACAGCCATGGGCCAAGTTATTTAATGCAGAAAGGATCTTCCAAAGCCTTTCATTGCCAGGCTTTTCGCAAACCTCCACAGCGCACTTGATGTACGACCTGATAGCTGACTGGTTGCACGCAGGATCAAAGAGCTCAGGAGGACATATACATCAAGGCGAGTAGGGTTGGGAGACACTCGAACCATTTTGTTACATCTCAAATTTTGACATCAAAACTGAAAACAACCGAGAAATCGACGTGCTCCATCCCAAAGTGGTTTGCATCTGTTCCTTTGTGAACCATCCTCGTTTCTGTTTCCGCTGCAACGTTTTCTTCTGGGTGATCGTTTTCGTGATGCGACTCACGAAGAGGTCCTTCTAAATAAGAAGCAAACAAGTTTAAAAAAAATCACAATGCAAGTCATATGATATGCATCTTTGCATTCTGACACATGTGATGTGAAAGTTTGAGATTGACATGAGTGAGGTGTTCGTTCATAACCAGTCCTTGCTCCAGTTGACTTTTTCCAGCTCATCGATCATTGCCTCTTTTTCAGCTCTCGTTGATTTGGCCCATTTTTCATGAATGGCCTTTGGGACATGGCAACGACCTGACGGCTTCAACTCGCACAATCGCCTGAGGCGGTTCAGCTTCGCCCCCTCAGTTTGAGGCGCGGGGCGGTCGGCTGGTGGTTGGACATCCTTGGGATCACCCTTTTCCTTCTTCTCTTTCTCCTTTTTTCTGGGCACTGGTGTGCCAGCAGGAGAAGGGGCAGGGATCTTTGGGGCAGGAGTGGACGTGGAGCTACTAGACTGACTTTTTTCACTACGAAGCTTCTGCATCTCTTTCATCATCGCTTTGTTGGCCTCCCAAAGGCTGAAAGACCCCAAGGGCACCAGGATTGAAAATACAAAGTTGAAGGTAAACACGTATATGATTTTCATATCAATATATATGATATTTCAGTATGACATCGACTGAACAGTTTACATTATAATGAATCAAGGCATGATCCTGACCTCCTGCAACTCCTGGATGAGCTGCTGTTGGTCCACTTCGGGGGGTGCTTGTTTACCCTTCACTCGCTTTGTTGGAGCTGGGTTGGGAGACGGTTCACCAGGTGAAGCTGGTGCATCTGGTTTCTGCTGAGGAGGTGGAGCCGGCTTTGTTTTGGCAGCTGCTGCTATCTTTTCAGTACCTCGTTTGGACTTGTTTCCCTTCTTGTTCTCCTGAATTTCCTCTTCAGTGGCCTTCAGTGGACTTTGATGAAAAAATGTCAATCCATCGTTCCGACTATTTACTGAATTGGTCAAACAATGTTGGTCACTTTCATTGGTTTTGGTATGACGTGTGCACTGGGTATAAATATGGCCAAGTTACTGGCTGAGTCTCATCAGTAGGAGAAGCTTGACCAGCTGCAGCGTCCCCTTGAGCCTTAGGGATGCAGAGCGATTGATGCGAAGAGTATGGGAAGGTTTACTCATGAGTATAATTGAAGTATAGCTAGAAATTGCCCTAGAGTATGTGAATCCCTAGCTGGCAAAGGTCTATTCAGGTCTATTCCATTTGAACTTTTGGCTAAGTCAACCAAATGGGTGGAGCATGTGATGGACAGTTTTCCGTTTGGGAACTGGTTTCAAACTGCAAAACACTGGAACATACCAACAGTGGACTTCAACACAAGAAATCACAGTGGTTCAAACAGGCATGGTCTGGTCATGTCTGGTGAAAGGGGGTCCAAGATGCCAAGAAACAATTTTTGCAGCGACTGTTTTCATTCGAGCAAGCTGCCTCTCATACTCCTCACCGGTTGGGGGTGGTGGGCTAAGATACATGGATGGGCTTAACAACACCATTGAACCAGATTGAACATCACATCGATCTTTTTTGAAGAACCTAATGAGGAATCTGTTTGAAGTTCATGATGTTTATTTGTGTAAACTGGTGCACGCTATTATGGATCTCTCCTTGATCTTCATGTCCAGATCTTCCTCCGGTTCTTGTTTGATAGACGTCAACTTGCTATGGCCATCCTTAAGTTCACTACAAGACCATTGCTTTGATGGTGCTGGCCGCCCTTTTGGGGCCATGACCCACTGAACCCAGCTGCTGCCAGGCCCAAAACAAGGTGCTGACGAGCCGAGATCCCTAGAATCGCGGCGAATGGGTGGAAGATGACACCTTTAAAAAATGTGTGGAGCCACATTCATGCCCACCAAACTTATGTATGGGAAGTCAAAACTACTTGATTTTCATGTTGATGCTGTGAAAACCCTCCAAAATGTATGGTTTTCACCTTGTTTACAGCTAACATTCTTCTTGCTTTGCCATGTTTCACCCATAAAAACAATTATCTACACCTCCACATTGGGAATTCAACCATTAACATCTACATTGTCAGCCCAAAATGGCAAAAAATCACGATTTTCAATGTAAAATTGGGAAATTCCACCAAAAATGCATTTTTTTCTCCCAAAATCATGGTTTTGGCCAAAGCTGGTCAAAAACCAGCAAAAATGGTTAATTTCCCCAATATCGGGCAGTACGGAAAAAGTACGTATTTCAGTACGCATTTCTACGGGTTTATACGGCCAAAATACGGGCTTTGTACGGGTCCATTTGTGGGTACGTATTTTGTACATACTTTGTCCGTATTAAGTACGTATTCCACCCAAAAGTCAAATCCCATCTATAATCGTATGAAATCGTTCAAAATCAACCATAATTTCTTGTATGCCATGTATGTTTCCTGAAATTCTGGCAATTTTGTTTGATACCCATCATGCATTACCAAAAACCCTTTATGATGACCTCCAATCACAAATCTCCGATGATAACTTTCACAAGTTGCCATATTAGGACCTATAGACGCGATATACACCTTACTTTCCCAGGTCTTGACATGGTCTTGTTTGCTGGGTCCCCAATTCCCATACTGTGATAAAATCAACAGAAACATGGCTGGATTGATTTGCGATTTTGCTCCATAGTGATTAACCGCATTAGTTTCAAAAGGATTTGATTTAGCATCACAATGAAAAAGATTCCCCAGAACCATTCCCTTGGCAACTGCTTTTGATTTGGAAAGGATGGCCCAGTACCAGCGGCAATGCGTTGAATGACATTGAATTGTTGAAAACATGGTGGACATCCATCATTCTTTTCAAAGATCATACCATGGTTTCTGCCCCGTGAGGTTTCCAACAAAGAACAAAACCCTACATTCATGTTCAACAGTACTCAAAAGATCACCATGAAGAATCCGGCCCTAGCATTTTCCAAAGCGGGCAGGAGATCTAGGCTTCTTAAATTTGACCTGGGTATTCCCATGTCCATATGCAACATCGAATTGTCAAAACAAATTAAAGTGCCAAGTTGGCTAGACTTAGATATGGGTTGGAAACAATTGCCTCCACTCCCCAAGCTCTAAGTCATGGCTTCCACGGAGATATGTGAACACTCCTTTCATGTTCCCACAATCCCACCAATCCCCCCACTCAAGCTGAGAGAAAAGCTCAAAGCCACTTCGCACAGGCTCTGCAGCAGCTGATGGTGGGAGGGCATCCTTCTTGGTGAGGAAGCGATGCAGTAACTTGACAATCTTCATCCCAAACTTCGGTGGATACGTCCTTAAATGGAAGGGGGCTGGCAAGATATTCATTTCTTTATTTAACCAAAATATACAGCAAGTATTGGGATGCCAACATCAACCATCAAAAGAATCACAGAACATCCAGTAAATATATTAGCACAAGATTGTTTTCACTGGATCGCTAGTAACCAAGTATAAAATCAAGATATGGCATGCCATTAACCAGAACCAGGAGCAAACCACCTAACGGGCTGAACATAAAGACATCAAACCAGCAAAACCCATGATCAACTCCCCTATCATAAATCCATTATTCGATCACATGTATATATACCTGAAACAACCCAATACCACTTCATGTGAGAAAACCACTGCACGGGATTCTTATAGGTACCATAGTCATAACAAGCCTCAGACCAAGTCTTATCTTGAAGTTCTGTGTCAAGGTCATTGGTTTCAACAACATAAATCTTTTAAATTTGGGATGGTGAGTCTTGCACAAATCAGGATGATGGTTTCCAGTTGACAGTCATGCCACTCGTTCATGATCATGAAAACACTATTCAAACATGTTTGAATTTTGATCCAAGAATCTGGGTGCCCTTCAAAAATTTGGTGCCATGGTAAGCCTTCTTACCCTGTTTGTCACGATACAACCGAGCAGATTTTGGAGCATTTCCAAAATGTTTCTTCTGGAAAGCTCTAGCCATGACCCCCCGATCGAAGCAACGGATGCTGGGGCAATTCGACCAACAGATGTGGCGCTTCATCGTCAAAGATCCATAGTGCCCCATCCACCAAAAGGCTTGAAACACCTGAAGGGGCAAACAGTTTCATATGAAATGGTTTCGGGGTGCCAATTGTATTTAATTATCTGGAGAGGCATGGCAATTTTAAGAGCCTTAAAATCATCATGTTATTGTTGACTTGTATTCTATGTCCATGCAGTTTGTTCACCCAATTCCTCAATCCTTGGGGTCAAAGTTGCTTCATGCTATTGCATACAATCCAAAATGATTTGGTATGCACTTTGCTGTACAATTGTTTTACGCACTATATGTAACATTTTTTTGCAAATATTAATTGCTGGTGGAAAACATCTTCTTTTATCTTGTATATATACATAGTATACATGTGGGTTCCCACTCACCCCTTTGATCCATATATTGACCTTGTGTAGCTTTGACCACAGCTCCATGACCCTCGGATGCCAAGGAAGCATTGAGCTCCGCGGCTGCTCTAACACCCAGGCGCCATTCATGGCACTGATTGCCCATATCAATAAACAAGTCCTGGGCTGGGGGCGACTTAGATTGGTAGATGTGAGTTTGAGGTGTCCAGCTTTGAGAGTGAATGATATGAACCATGAACAATACAGTGAAATGCCGCTATTGAAATCTATAGCATGTGGTATCTACTTGGTCCAAATAGCACTGCACATTTGAGATCCCATGGCATTTCTGGGTGGCAAAACTATCAAATTCGGGCCAATTTCACCACATATCACAAGACATACAGCTACCACTCTATCACTCTTGCATAGTCCCCGGGACTGGGTGTACCCATTATAGTCCATAATGAAAATGTTTGAAACATTTTGAAACGTTTTATCCCGTCCAAGGTTTTTGTTGAGGTGATGCCCCACGTTGATACAAGTCCACTTCATGTTGATACCCAATTCAAAGGGTTTGATTGAAAGTGCCTACAGAACATAGGCTGTGCATAAAGCAAACCAATGCTTGTCAATTTGTTATCTAACAATCAAATTGTATGAGATAAGGGTCCTTGATGCCAATGCATTGCCAATAGCCACCATGGGTATTTCAGAACGGCCTAGAGGATCAAATGGTGCACGTCGATGGGTTCCAGATGATATGCTTACATAGCTGCTGCACATCAATCCTATCAGGCATAGAAACGCTCCCATCTTGCCATTGAAGATGGTGACTAACGCCAGCCTCAATCCCAAGGTTGTTTCGGAACAAAGGTCATTCACACTGATACTGTTGTATCCATTCTGTTTTAAGTTTGACAACCCAATCCCAAGAATGCAAATCTAGGGTGTGCAAATGGATCGGAGAAAAATATTCCCCAAACATGAAGATGATGGGTGGTAACAACATTGTTTGACCAAGTAACGAGAATCCTGCGTCCGACAACAAATCCATTGCATTTTGTTTTTCGGGAAGCAGTTCACCATACATGATGTCGAGGGCAGCAGCACTATACCCATGGTGTTTCACACACCTGGTCACCCAAGCCTCTCCAGCAAAGAGTTCGATGAAGTCGTATTTCTCAGGGGGCCATCGGGGCAGCCAGGAAATGGTGTCAAGGATTTATTTTCCATTTCTTTCCAAAAAGTATTTGTGGAACAAACAGGTATGACAGTAGGACCTGTTGAGACTAAGATTTACAACATTTTTTTAACAGTAAGATGTATGACATCACTTTGTTTTTTTTGACCTTGGGGCCTAGCCTCTTCAAATAAACCAATGGCAGGGTTCAAGCACAAGAGAACTGTGCAGGCCATCAGAACCTTCAGGGCAAGCTGGCTGATCCCACTTCAGGCACGATCAAACAAACATGAACCGGATATGTTAGGTGAAAACATGTTAATGTTTGCGCATAAGCATGCATGCCTGTGCTATCATGATTTTTAACCTATGGCCTTGCCTTGGGGGCACCCAAATGATGCAGCCGGTGCAGAATCAAGTCCATTTTGTCACGTCTGGTTGGATTCATGGCTCGACACCTTCCCTTCACCTAGTTTCGGCTTGAACTTCAAAATGCTTCATTGAAAGCTGAACATTGGTTTCAATCATGGAGTGGGTTGACATCCACCCGCAGCATGCCCACTGGCGTGCCCCAAAAACAATGCAAGGCTAACCGATCTCCTCCAATTGAGGCATGGCCGCATCATCCATGGGGCCTGGCGAGCGGAGACGGTAGACCATGGAAAGGTTGTGCATGACCTTTGGAATTGGAATCTCATGTAGCCCAGTGCATCTGATCAAAATCTATGGAAGCATACCCAACCAATCATTTCATTTTTGGTGGAAGATCGATGTATCATCACAGTATGATAGCATCACTGGGATGAAGAGTTCTTATATATTATTCATCATTATTTATCACTTGAGCAACTGGTCACTAACCTAAAAGAGGCTATCCCTGGGCCCTCTCAAGAACTTGCCTTTAGGGTTTTTGATAGTCATGAACGCTTTCAACTGTGAAGAACCTTGAGAGTGGAATTCAAAATTGCCCAGTAACATGGTTTGAATGGACCCCCCCATGGCACAGCCAGTTGATGTGGGAATGGCTGATTCAGTTCACCAATGGGCCGGCCAGAGGAAGCTTTTTTTTCCCAGCACACCTTCGGACATGCTATCAGCAACAGTTGTGAATGTGTTCCAGCAGGTTTTTGCTTGACATGGACTTGGTACCTACGCATGTAACCCTATCATTGCAACATATCAGGAGGAAAAAAGTGTCAGAAAACATAATGGCAGTATGATTGCTGAAAACTAGTGCATTTCTCCTTTTAGCTTGTCACATGTGCGACCTGCAAACTGTTGCAAGAGCAACCAAATCTAAGTGCCAGGGTCCAGATATCAATCTACCCCTTGTTTGAAAGATTGGGGGCATCATCTTTTAAGATGCCCCTGCCCAAGCTTTGAGATGTCAGCCGTTGATCACTTGAAACACTGAAAAGAAAAGGAAAACAATGTCTAATGGTCTAATGTATGACGTGGCATTCATATGATGATCGGTTCAAAGAGGCTGCCATTCAACCTAAGTCAGCCCCTAGGGCAAACTTGCCAGATACTGGTTGGCTGCTTCCTTAGCAAGCTCATTGATGTTCTCCCCAGTCACCTCTTTACTTTTCCAAGCATTGGTGGCGAACTTCCAAAACTTGTCCTGACAGGGCCAACGGGAAGTGGAGTGCCAACATCCGTAGTAGCATTTTTTATTTTAGAGTTGGCTCAACCTCATGCAGTGGTATCGGGATGCACTATGACATATCATAAATATTCAGGGCTGCATGTGCATCAATGATCTTATATAAGCATGGATACCTGAAGCTTGTGTCACAGCTAAGGAAACATAGCCAGCAATTCGGTGAGGCCGAAAACCAACATATGCAACAAAATAAGAACAAACATACCTTGGGATAAAGGTAGGTAATGAAACACAAGGAAACTTTTGGACAGCTTCCCCAACATTAGTTGAAATACTTCCACTTATGCATTTTTTCAAAACAAGCATTGGATACATGAAACTCAATAACCAAGGGTCCTCATGCGTCGAATAGTGCTTCACGGTGGGACGGATCAGGTCATGGAAGGCACTTCGAAGGGAGTACCACTTGTCCTTTCCAAACGGGGTAGTGGGAACAACCCTCCTCGCAAAGGTGGCAGGCTCATCACTTCGCACCCTTTTCTTCTTAACCTTGTTTGCCTCTTCCTTGCCCTCTGCCTTCACCTGACCTGCAGCTCTTTTTTTGGCTTCCTTCCCAATTTCACCCTTGGCTGGACCGGCTGGAGCTGGCTTGCCATCCTTTCCCTCATCTCCTTTGGCTGTCCTCCTTTTTTGAACTGGCTTGGTGGGCTCATTGCCTGCTGAGTGATCTTGCTGTGCCTCCCCCACCTCCTTTGCTTTGCGTTTCTTCGTTGCGTTTGCCTTTGGCTTTGCTGTTGTTTCAGCAGGAGCTGGCTCTCGGGGTGTCAAAGCTGCATCTTGCTTTTGGTTCGGGTCTGTAGGCTTGCTATCCTCAACATCGTCACCATCCTTGGGGCAATCTTCCTTTGCTACATCATCATCCTTTGGAACAGGCTTTTCCTCGGAATCCTTGGGAACCCCAGGGGTGGTGTTGTCACTTGGCTCTGCAATTGCATCGTTTTCCTTTTCTACTTCCTCTTCCTCCTCCTGGATGGGATTATCCTTTGGCTTGTTACCTTTCTTGGCTTGCACCTTTGCTTTCCCTTTCGGCCTTCCCTTAGCCTTCGCCTTAGCCTTACCACATGGTTTCCCTTTTGCCTTTGCCTCAGCCTTTGCCTCTCCTGTGCTCCCATCACCACCTTCATCATCCTCAATCTTCTCTTTCAGAGCAAACTGACTGCGGCGAAGAACCTTGGAAGGAGAGGTGGAAGCTGGCAAGCACAAACATATATAACCCATCAAGGTTTCAAGAGTTTAAATTAGATCTTCTAAATTCTAAAGGTTCTAGATGGGTTCTTTGAGGAGAGAGCCACTGTACCCATAAACAAATTCAATTGTTGGAATCTGTTGGAACACTTGGTGCCACATAACCAGACCATCACCAGACCATACACATCTGAGGCACTACCGGTGGAGGGGATGGGATGCAGGGCTCTTCAGCATCAAAGCTTCGGGCCACTAGGTTCATCTCTTCTTCGGAAACAGGTAAGGCTTCACTGTTGTCACCCCCATAGGGCAGGCTGTCCATCACAACAAGCGGTTTGTCCTTGGTTTCTTCCTCCAAAGCATTCTTCGCTTTCCTGGGCAGTGAAAGGTTGGGAAAGGAAGCTAGGCAGGTTGAAAGAGTTAATCATCAAACACAGCGGAAATTAGTGGGAACTATTGGAAACTTATGGGCCCCAAACAAAATAATGCAAAACTTTTGATACCATCCACAACGAAGCTCTTAGCCATTTGCATTTTTTGGCATGAAGCAAAGCTTGTTGGATGTTCTGGATTTGGAGGTTGAGATCTTCCATGGAACCAGAGCTACCTTTGTCAGGTGTGTCCTCAATCACAATCATCTTATCACAATCATCAGGTTCAATACCCTTGGATGGTGATGGGTCAAAGGCTACCAAAGGAGACCCTGGCGGGGAATCGGCAAACTCTGGGACCAAAGGCTGGTCAACTGCGTCCTCTGGGAAAAAGGGCTGGGAACTGGGTATCATCTCACAGGAATCCATGGTGGAAGGTTCTTCTGAGAAAAGGCCTTGCATGGGCGATCTGGACTGGGACTCATCAACAGGGTGATGTTCAGGCTCAGAATCACCACCATCATCACAGTCTTCATCAGACCCCACATCATCTAAGTCAACATCATAGAAAGGTTCACCAGGTTCGTCAGCTGAAGGTTCTTCTGGGCATGAAAATCCACCGTCGGGAGTAACCTCCGGGTTATAGCAGTGAAAACCCAAGGAACATGAATCCGAACACTTGGAACCAGGAATGTGAAAGAACAAGTCGATAAAAACATGAAACGTTGCTAGCGGGCGTTTTTCTTTTCCCAACAGTCCCAACCGTTTGTTTTGAAACCAAACCTGTGTCTCTTCTTCATCGTGGAACACAAGACTCATCAACCTTCGGAAGGGTACACTGCGACAAAGCACATCCTTGTTCAGCTTGGCCTTAACCATGACCATGAATCCTTTAGCCAATTTGGCTTCTTTCTTGATCTCGGTCCTATTAGGTACTGGAAGCTTCATTATGTGAAACAGCTTCTTGATCCTTATCGCTGGATGATGTTGAAGGCTGATAAAAATGGATAAACAAATGATAAAATACAAACATCAAAAATTGTGCCTAAACATCAAAGCTTGAATTGATGACAACAACCCCCATAGTGGAAAGTTGATAAAGAAAACAGAAAATAGAATATATAGAATATGCCATTTAAGATAAAGCTCTCCCTGGTCAAATGTGGTACCATGACCTGACCAACATGGCCATTGGGCAGACGCAAACGCTGGGCAATGGGCTTCAAGGCTTGGAAGTTCTGTTCACCACAGCGAACATTGCATTCTGGTTTGGCACACCGAATTGCTGGTCGAAAAAGACACTGGTTCACCCGCATAAACTCCCTCACCTCCGGATCTGACTCCCAAGCCTTAGCAAGGCCACTTAAATCAGCAGCCGTCATGGTAGCAAATGCAGCACCCCAAAAACTCGGCACAGGCAAGTCGCTTGGGCTGAAGATGGCTGAAGAGACCAGAGGCCAGGTGGGTTTCATCATGCCCCTGCTGGATCGGGATATTGGATACAAAATCCAATCATTGGATAATCTGGGCAACAAGTAAAGGATATCACATGATCGGATTTTGTATCCGTGAATCTCCATGTTTTGATTTTAATTCTGATAGTTGACAGCCGACAGCCAATTCAAATATTGAATAGTCCAAGTAGATTTAAGTGATGTGCTTCCCCACGCAGCCTATTGGGTTGGATCTGGATCCTAGATATCACAATGATGATGATGATGATGATGGTGGTGGTGGTGGTGGTTTTCATTATTATGAGATAATTTGGTCATAATGATGTTCATCCAATGTCACCAAAATCAACAACAAGATCATCAACATCAAAGACTGTATCATTAACGTTGTGTATGTCGGCATTCTCATGTTCATCAACATCATGTTCATCATGGAATCTTGTCATATCAACAACCTGATTGTCATTGTCATCATCATATTCGCTTTCATTGTCATCATCTTCATCATCAAAATTTCCATGGTCATTTTTACCATCACCCATGTTTGATCATTGTTTTTCATGATTCTCATCATCATGCCCAGCACCATCATCACCATATTCAAATCTATGGTGGTGATGATGGCTTTGGTGATGATGATCATCATCAGCATGATGATGGCCACCCCCTTTCATGGTTTTCAGACACCCTGGCCCGCAGGTCCTGGCCTTGGCAAAATGCCAGATAGCGACTTTTGGCGCCCCAAAGTGGCCAAAATGGCCACCACTGCTTGAGAAGCAGCTCTGGGAGTGGTGATTGGATAGGATGGGATTGATATTGGATAGCATAGTATGAACCCATATAATCCACATAATCCATATATGCGTCATTCAGATGGTTGATACCTCATCTATTGATCCTTTCAAGATAAGCTATACTGAGGACATGTTCAAAAGACAGGTTTTTATCAAAATACGGGTTTTGGTGCAATAGAGCCTTTTTTTAACCCACAGCATGTATTCTGAAAGTGCTATCTATAAAGAGCTATCGTTCAGGTCCAGGGTATATATATATATATTGTTAATCTTGGATTTGATTCAGGGATTCCCCAAAATCAAAAAAATAGTTCCATGGTTGATTCCCCAAATGGTTGATGTTCTGGGAAAATAACAAATCACCGATCTAAACAAACCTAGGACCTAGGCCTCGTTCGTCACAGCAGCACGGACAAAGGCGTTCTCCAGGTGTTCGGTCGCGACCTTGCCAAAAAAACATCGGGGAAAGTGGTGATTTAAGCTAAGTATGGGAATATCATTATATCATGGATATATATATAATTATATAGTGTATATCTATAGAGTATATATCATATAGTACTTATATTGTATTAATTATTAATTATTTGTGTAACTTTACATGTTTGATAGATGTTGGTTATCTGAATACTATCTAACTTAGTGCATGGAGATTCACCAATCACAATATTTGCCTCAAAAATGAATGTGTCTTTCAGGTCCAATGTCCAACAAATAGTCCTTACAAAATGATCCATTCCCCAACTGCTTGATGTTCCATTGGGATTTAAGTATAAAAAAAGTATTATATCAACACACCCAGGGTTTACAACATCATTTTCCCAAAAAAAACAGCGCCGAAATTGGGTCTCATCCCATGCCTGTCAACCTGTCAGTTGGTATCTGATTTCACCCCAAAAAACCGGGTGCCGGCTGAGCTCAGTACCAGAATCGAGTACAACTCTCCATAGGTGCTGGCCTCTCGCCGTTCCTCACAAAAAACCATGGGCTGATTTTGATGGGATTTACCCTGTGGCTTGAAGAAAATCGACCTGGAGATGCTCTTCATGTCTTTGGGACCATCAAATCGAACTGATCAAAAAAGTTCAAAAAAACAGTCTGGACATCTTTAGCTCCACCTCAATTCAGTGGATGACCATCATTTTTCCCCATGGCCATATATGTTTCTGGAAAACTGCCATAACTGGGCCATAACCCATATAATGGTTCTATATTATAGATATATAATGATATATGTGAATTTGCAATTCAACCAGTGGTCACCTTGGATGTACCTCCAACCTGTCAGACATTCGTGCATGCATCCGATACGGCCAGGTCAACCACTGACCATGCTTCGACCATGACTCGTGGCTCAAGGCCGCACAGGTGCGAAAAGCGTGGCCGCTGCTGCGGACAGCCCAAATCGAGAAGTGTAACACAGGAAAGGCCCAGGGGGTCTGTTGGAGCCCATTTTGGGGTATTTCTTTCTTTTGGGGTGGACCCCAAAACCCTTAATCTGGTTTGGAACCGGATTCCCCTACCTTTGTGGACTCTAACCCAGGGAGCCACATTGGTAGCGGAGCCCGGAGGGCCCACGGAACCCGTGGAAAGCCTGGGGGGCGCCGCCATGTCAGCGACAGCTGAGACTTCGGAGGACAAGGGGAGTCACATTTGGACCCTCTTACCGACCTTTGATCCTGCTGTCGACAACGTGAAGGAGTACATTGAGAAAGTGAAATTCATAGATAGCATATGCCCAAAGAAGGACAGACCGATGCTAGCTCCGAGATTGGCCATGCTGTGCCGAGGAACAGCCTGGGGCCAGGTGAAAAGCCTAGCATCAAGTGCCTTGACCGATCCAGAGAATGGTGTCAAAAGTCTTTTGGCGGCGCTATCGTCTTGGGAAGAGTCCACTGAGATGAAAACCTATGAACAATTCGAGAAAGCGGTTTACCGCACCGTCCAAAAGTCCGATGAAAGTAGCATGAGCTATGTGAACCGACTGCAAGTGGCCATGGATGAGCTTGGTGCCAAGAGCTTGAAGGAGTTCCACGCTTTTCTTCTTTTGAGGCAAAGCGTTTTGAGCCCAGAGGACAAGAAAAGAGTCCTGACAATGACAAATGGAGATATGGATACCAAGAAGATCGAACAGTCCATGAGGACACTGGCCACCAACATCCTGACTTCAGGAGAAAATCGCAAGAAGGTTTACCCAACCAACTTCGTCGAACCAGAGGTTGGGTTCGTTGCTGCTGACCACGATGGCTCATCAGGAGCTGGATTGAACAACTACTACACCGAGGATGACGAGGTGGATCACGAGTTGGTGGAGCATTTGGCTGCACAGGGCGACTCTGACGCCCTCAACGTCGTCGCATTCGAACGTGACCTGGAAGAAATGTTTCAGGAAGTGCCGGACTTGCATCAAGCACTGGTGAGTTACCAAGAGGCCCGAACCAAGATCTTGGAGAGGAAACGCTCCAGAGGGTTTTGGCCGTCAACAGGGAAGGGCAAGATGAAGGGTTCTGGCAAGTTTCAACCTCGAAAGGGGTCTGGCAAAGGCAATCTTCTCCAAAGGATTTCAAGAACGTTTTGCAAAGCATGCGGCGAGAAGGGCCACTGGAAAGCGGAATGCCCGAACAAGGCAGGGGCCTCTACCGACAGTGCCAACTATGTGATTCACCAGAGTTTTCATGTGGTCGACCGTGAAGATGGACCCGCTCAAGTGATCTTTGAAGATGCGGATGAGGCTGGTTCAGGAAAGCATGACCATGTGCCAAGAGAGAATTATCAAGGGGATAAATGTGGGGTAAAATGGAATGGGATAATGTGGGGAATAATAAGACGGGTAGGTAATGCAGCCAAGCAAGCAGCCGAGGGGTGCATCCGTGCCATGTCTGCCGTCTGTCGTCCCATGTATGTTTCCGACAAGTCCCATAACCCCATAATGTTTGACCAACCCATGGAAGTTGCTTTCAGCTTGCAACACCTAATCCCAGAAGTCCAGAAATTCCTTGGCCCACGATTGCATTCCAGGAAACCAGCGATGCCGACGGCAGTTGAATGTTATCACAGCCGGCCTGACCTGAGTCGGATTGCCCAAGAAGGGCTTGCCATCCTAGACACTGGTGCCAGCCGAAGTGTCATCGGATCCGATCTGTGGCCTGGGGTGTTGAAAAGCTTGCCTTCCGAAGTCAGGTGTCAGGTAAAAGAGGTACCAAGTCGAGTTGGTTTCAGATTTGGCAACAATCAAATCACCTACAGTTTCAAACAGGTTCGCATTCCCATTTTTTCAGGGAAGCGTCGAATATGGGTTGTCATAGAGGTTGTACCGCATGCGACACCCTTTTTGATTTCCATACAAGCCCTAAAAGCGTTGGGTGCCATGATCAACCTGTCAACGAATCAGTGTTTTCTCAGCAAAATCAATAGGGAGTTGAACTTGCAAGAAAGTGAAAATGGACTGTACGTCATTCGAATGTCAGAACTTTGTGTGGATCCTTGCGAAACAGTCATGAGTGCAGAGACTTCCAAAGCCGTCCAAGCGCCCAACATTTGCCCACCGCCTGGTTTGTTTTCCTCAGAGCCTGCCGACCATGTTGACTCAGAGGGATGCGATGCGGCTGATCAAGACAACGGCCGAAGCAGTGATGGAATCTCTCAGGATGCTCCTCATCATCCTGATGAACCAGATCGAGGTGAAGGCCCCGGACCAGGAGATCTCAGACCACCATGCCAGCTCACTGCAATCCCTTCTGGAACACGTGAACAACCAGAAGGAAAAGATCGAAGAGCTGGCCAAAGCTCTGAAAACAGTCCAGTCCCCTCGCAAGTCTCGAGGAAACAATGGACCAAAGCCGTCAGAACCTGGAGACCTCTCAGATTTCTCATGGGAACTGGAAGAGGAGGAACTGATGGCGTCAATGACTATCCCCTCAAAGAGGACAGCACCAAGGATGATGCCAACCAATGTGACCCTCAGGAATCAAGTTCCACAACCGGTTCAGGTGCAGACCAACGAGAACCAGCTGGCATTGACAGCTCAAGCGGTGGAGAGCCGGGGAAACAAGAGAGTTTCATGGGGAA